GGAAGTAGATTGCCCCATCTTCCTTCCGAGGAGTGGCTGGTGAGTTTGAACCGCCAGCCTTCTGGTTAGCAGTCAAGTGCCTTAGCTACTATGCTATCAGAGCTCCCATAATTTACAATAGCAAAGAGGAATTTCCCTCTACTCCACACTTCTTTAGGATTTTCAACTAGAAAGGTTGTTGGGCTTTTTCAAATATTCTGTTCTGCATCCATAGAGATGATCATATGGTTACTTTCCTTTGTTGTATTGCTGTGGTATATTGCATTTACTGATTTGCTAATGTTGAACAATTCCTGCATTTCTGGAATAAATACCAATTGGTCATAGTGTACGACTCTTTTAATATGATATTGTATTATGTTCACTAGTATTTTGTTGGGGAGCTCTGGTAGCATAGTGGCTAAGGCACTTGACTGCTAACAAGAAGGCTGGTGGTTCAAACCCACCAGCCACTCCTTGGAAAGAAGATGGGGCAATCTACTTCCGTAGTGATACTGCCTCAGAAACTCAAGGAGGGGTCTCTATGAGTCAGATCCGACTCGATGGCACATAACAACAACAACAAGTATTTTGTTGAGGATTTTTGTATAATATTCATAAGAGAAATTGGTCTCTAGTTTTCTTGTAGTATGGTGTCTTTGTCTGGTTTTGATATCAGGGTTATGTTTCTTCTTAGAATGAATTAGAAAATATTGATGTCAATTTTTCTCCAAATATTTGATAGACTTCTCTAGTGAAGCCATGTTGTTGTTGTTGTTGGATGGGAGGTTTTTGATCACTAATTCAATCTCTTCACTTATTACGGGTCTACTGAGACTCTTTATTTCTTCTAGAGTAAGTTTAGGTTGGGTGCGTGCTTCTATGAATGTGTCCATTTCATGTTATCCAGTTTTATGCCATACAGTTGTTGATAATATTCTGTCATAATTCTCTTTATTTCTATCACCTCAGTTATAATATCCCTCTTTCATGTTTTATTTTGGTTACTTGCATCTTTTCTCTTTTTCCTTTGTCAGTTCAAGGTTTGTCAATTTTGTTGATCTTTCAAAGAACCAACTTCTGATTTTATTGACTCTATCGCTTTCCTACGAGTCAGAATCAACTCAACAGCAATGGATTATTGGTTTTGCATTTTTTATTTTGTTTACTTATGCTCTGATTTTGGTATTTCCTGTCTTCTGGTAGTTTCACTAGGCTCAGTTTTCTCTTCTCTTTCTATTTTCTGGAATTGACTAAATAGGCTGCTAACTTGAGATCTTCTTTTATCTTGTAGGCATTTATTACTCTAATTTTCCCTCAGATTACTACCTTTACTGTATCCCATAATTTTTGGTATGCTGTGTTTTATTTTCATTTGACTCTAAGAAATTTATGAAATCTCTTCTGAGTTTTTTCTTGGCCCATTAGTAGTTTAATAGTGTTGTTTAATTTCCAAATATTTGTGTATTTTCCAGATTTTTTCTGTTATTGATCTGTAGCTTCACTCTGTTGTGGTCAGAGAAAATGATTTTAATCCTTTTAAGTTCATCAAATCTTGCTTTGTGACCTAACATGTGGTCTATGCTGGAGTAAAATATGTATTGTGTTGTTTTTGGATGGAGTGTCCTATATATGTCTATTACGTCTAGCTGATTTATAGTATCATTCAGGTCCTCTCTTTCCTTGCTGATCTTTTTAGATGTTCTTTCCAATACTGAACGTGGTATACTGAAGTCTGCAACTATTGATATGGTACTGTCTATTTCTCCCTTCAATTACATCAGTGTTTCCTTTATGTATTTAAAGACCCCCAGTGACTCCGTATGTATTTGATTGTCAAATTTTCTTGATTAATTGACCTTTATCACTATATAATGTTCATCTTTATCTCTTCTGACAGATTTTGTCTTAAAGACTACTTTGTCTGATATTAAGTAGCTACTCCAGCTGTCTTTTGTTTATTATTTGTGTGCAATTTTTTTTTCCAGGCTTTCAACTTCAACCCATTTATATCCTTGTGTTTAGGTATGTCTTTTATAAACAGCATATAGAAGGATGTTTCTTTATCTATTCTACCACTCCCTGACTTTTGCCTCTCTGACTTTTGATGTTGAGACTTTTTATTTAGTCCATTTACATTCACTGTATTTACTAGGAAGATATGACTTGCTTGTGTTGTTTTGCTATTTGTTTTTTTTGGTGTGTGTGTGTGTATTGCAAGCATTCTTTGTCTTTGCCCTTTAATGCTGCTTTTTATGCTATGTTGGTTTATTGTAGTGAGTCTTTTTTAGTTCCCTTCTCTTCTTTTGTGT